CCCCCCTCTTCTCTCCGCCTCTTTGTCTCCTAGCTCCCTCCCCCCTCTTCCCGTGCCCCCAATTTGCTCAGGGGATCTTGACCCTTTCCCCCTTCTCCAGGGGACCATGTATGTCTCTCTTAGGGTCCTCCTTGTTTACTAGCTTCTCTGGCAGTGTGGATAGTAGGCTGGTAATCCTTTATTCTATGTCCAAAATCCTCATATGAGTGAGCACATAACCATGTTTGTCTTTTTGTGATTGGGTTACCTCACTCAGAATGGTTTCTTCTAGTTTCCATCCATTTTCCGGCAAATTTCAACATTCCATTGTTTTTTTTCCGCTGAGTAGTACTCCATTGTGTAAATGTACCACATTTTCTCTATCCATTCTTCGGTTGAGGGGCATCTAGGCTGCTTCCAGTTTCTGGCTATTACAAATACTGCTGCTATTCTACTTCTGTTTGCTGCTTTCAGTAAGTAATAAGAGTTCTGTGTCTGGATCCACAGGTAGCAGGAAGAGAAGGTGAGCCACTCTAGCTTCTGAAACCTCAAACCCCACCCCCCCCCCCCCCCCAGTGACATACTTCCTCCAACAAGGCCACACCCACTCTAACAAGGACACACCTCCTAAAAGTGCCACTCTCCATGGGCCCATGGAGGCCATTTCATTCAAACCACCACATCTCCTGAGTGATCACTGCCTCTCTCAGCACATGGCTTCCCTGTACTCTAAAGCTTCCTCCTGCTCCATCCCTACCCAAGCTGCACATTTTCAGTTTACTTCCACCCCCCTTGTTGCTCTTTTTCACTGTTGATTTGCATAAGAGTAATCAATGACGACCAGACTTAGACTCAACGTCATGTTGTCTTGAAAAGCATGTTGTCTGCAAAAGTAATTAGCTCATTCCTCTCTAATGTGGCCTCACATAGATCATCAGGGCATGGACAGAATGGTCAGATTCTTTGCTAAGACATTACATAAATGGCCCCCCAGCCCAATTGTTAATAGAATCATTGTTCCCCCTTGCGATGTCACGAGCTCTACAGTCTGCATTATTCTCAGTGCTTCTGTCTTCCAGGCTCCCACTAAAACAAACTGTTAGGTTCTTCAGACTGTGTTCAACTACTTTTCTAATCCAAAGTTCCGAAGTCCTCCACATCCCTTCCGACAAAACAAAACCCTAAACAACAAAAACCAAGCAACCGTGATCGGGTTCTTCATAGCAATAAGATGGTGTCAACTCAGCTTGGTAATCTGACATTGGCTCCTTATAACAATACAATGGAACTTTATCATGCACAATAGAGTATTGTAGTTCCTCATTTCAGTTCTGTGATGTCACCAAGAGAATTGTCATGTGAGAGAGGAGCGTTGGGTATTAAAATTTGGCTTTATGTCACACCACCCATGGAACATTGTGATGCCAGAACTCAGCACATGACAGTGTAACAGTGGGGATTGGACATCACAGTGGAAAGTTGTCACGTCACAATGAAATACCGTGGTGTTATAATTCAACAATGTGATGTCATGGGAACCTTGTAATGTTACAATGAGCCTTTGTGAAGGCACAATGCATCATAGTTCAGTGTTGTCATGACAGGAGCAGAGCACTGTGATGGCGCAATTCAGCTTTATTATGGAAACATAATGTCTAATAATGGCACAATGAAATAATGTGTCATGTCACAATCTGGCAACACTGTGATGTCAAATTTCAACTTTTTTTTTTCATGGTGAAATGGAGCAGTGTGAAGCCACAGTTCAGAATGATGATGTCACAGTTCAGAATGATGATGTCACAGTTCAGAATGATGATGTCACAGTGCAGCATCGGTCTGTCTGTCATAAGGCAGCAGCTATGTCACAGGGGAGTTGTCATCACTTCACAAAACAGCATTGTGATAGCACATGATGGGAGAGGAAAAGAAAGGCACAGACAGACAGCTGGACCATGAAGGTAGGTTTGCTTTGGAAACCTGAGAAGTGTGAGAGCACACACTTCTCTTTCAGGTTGGGGATTTTATCAGGGCCAGAGAGTGGATCGGTCAAAAGGTCTAGTTCAGCCAGGCAGTGTTAATAATTAAATAGGATGTGCGGGAATGGTATTAGCAGTATTGACTTAAGGAAATTGGTGTTGGGAAGCTGAGATTGTTAGCCACGGTAAGGGGGTGATGTTCAAGCTGCGATGGAGTTTACAGGAGATGGGGTGCTATTCTGGCTGGAGTGAGAGTGCCCCTAAGGTGTGTTCTTATTCTCTCACAAGTGAGCTATATGATGGTACTAAGGCATTTCAAATACAGCATTGTGAGACTTGCAATTCAACATTGTGTCATCAAAATTCGGCATTGTACCGACCCAACAGAGCATCATGATGGTCTGATATAGCATTGTAAAGCCACAATTCAGCATTATGTTAGCACAATTGATTATTGCATTGTGATGTCACCACAGAGGGAGCTTTGAGCAATTCAACATTATACTGAAGGACTATGACATTTCATGGAGTGTTGTCACATCACCTGTGAGAACTGAGATGGCCCAGCACGGAAAACATCTTGATGCTGCAATTCAGCAATGCGATGTCACAGTGTCGCACTGTGGTGGCACTGCAGATTATAGTGACAAAATAGTGAAACATTTGGATGTCACAAACCAGCATTGTAAGGATGCAAAATTCAGCACTGTTACAGAATCATGTGCTCTGTTGATGGTGTGGTGGAGCATGGTGACGACACATTGCAGAATAGTGACAGATTGCAGCACAGATGCCAAAACTCAGCAGTGTGAAGACATAATGTGGGATTAGAATGTCAAAATTCAGCACTGAGGTGGAACAATAACAGTATTATGTCACTATCAAGTATTAGCACAAAGGAGCATTGATGGAATAGTTTAGCACTAAGATGACATAATGAAACATTATGATGTCACAATTAAGCATTATTATGGCATAAGGAGGCACTGTGATGGTCAAAGAATACTGTCATGGCATAACAGAACATTATTAAGGACACTGCAGCTAAGTGATGTCCAAATCCATCATTGTGACATCATAAACAGCATTGTGGTGGCAAAATAGAGCATCGTGATAGCACAGTCGATCACTGGAGGGTCACAGTGTGCCTTAGTTAAGGTCACCATTTCTGTGATGAAACACCTTGACCAAAGCAACTTAGGAGGAAAGAGTTTGTTTTGCTTACACTTCCACATCACTGTTCATCAGAAGAGGTCAGGGCAGGAGCTCAGACAGGGCAGGAAGCAGGAGGCAGGAGGCAGGAGCTGATGCAGAGGCTGTTTCTCAGTTGAGGCTCCCTCCTGCCTGATGATTTTAGCTTGTGTCAGTTGACATGAAACTCACCAGCACACAGTGCAGTCATGTACTATCACGACGGTGTAATGTGCTGTTACAATGGACCATTGCTATAATGGAACATAATGATGGCATGACAGAGTAGGGTGGGATAATGTAGTACTTTATGTATGACCATGGTGCTGGCTAGTTATATATCAACTTGACACAAACTGGAGTCACTGGAAAGGAGGGAGCCTTAATTGAGACAATGCCTCAATAAG